CACATGGTGAGGAAATCTTAGAGTACAGTGGGATTAGTGGTCAAGCCTATAGGCTTTGATCCAATAGCAGTGTTGGCAAACACGGCCATGGACAAAAAAGGATTTGGTGGGGACCGAAAAAAGGATATTCGGGAATATTATTCCCCATGTTTACGAGCATCCTAAGGATGCTAACGAATGGATTTGGGATGATCACTCATGGATGGATGGCCTAATTTTTAAGAAACGGGATTGTGATATAGGTGGTGTTTGAGTCAATCATGAGATTAGACATGTGGAGCACTTGGACCAAGTGCAAAGGTTGAGTGGCATGGATGCCATTCTCAAGACTAGCAAACCCTAATTTTAAAATAAGATTTTATAAAGGTTGTGAATGAGATTCTTCCAAATGGTCAAAGGTGTGGTTAAATGACTAAAGTAGAATAGAAAATTTAGTCACTTATATTCTCTAAGTAGTGTCTTTTGTAAAAATGTCTTTAAAGCAAGTGTATCTAAAAATGAGACCATGAATAATTTCTTCTAGTGTTGGAAATAAAGTGATGTGGATTGGAAATTTACTTATAATATTTGTCATTTAAGAGAAGTAATGTTTTAATTTATAAAATAAAAAAAGTTATAGTTTTGTTGAGGAACCTATATATAGTATAATTAGTATATTTTTTATTTTAAACAATATATATACAAAATTTGAGACAATAATATAAAAAGTTCATCATTTTTTATGTAGGTTTGCTTATTTATTCTGATTTAGTTTTAAAAATATCTAACTAGAATTAAATAATAAACCAAAACTAATAACTTCAATAGCAATATTAGTCTTTTGTGTAGGACTAAAAAACTTGGCTATCAACACTACTACCTATAACATTGAGTAGGGCATAATTGCTACTTAAGAAAAAATGTGACTAGTAAAATTTTTCCTAAAATTTGACTAGTGGTTTCATGAAAATGAACATATAAATTAGAGTTGTTATATGAATACTTATAAAAAGAAAACTAATCACTATAGCAATAGTATGAAGTCACTTCTATGTAAACAACTAAAAAAAACAATTCAAAAGATGATCCATGGGGTTCAAATATAAAAGGAAAGGGCCTATAAACAAGAGTGCACCCTTTTTTCTAATTAGTTAAAGGTCTTAGGATATTTGGGATTAGATATCCTTGGGTTTGAAGAGTATTGGGTTAGGTGACTTGTGATTTGGCATTCTTAAAATTTTAAAGGGGTAAAGAATTTTAAAGTATAATTTGAACTCAATCTTAGAGTTGGTCCCAAAGTCGATCTCGAACTCGGTTTTAGAGGCAATCTTGGACTTAGTTTCATCCGATGAATTATTTATCGTTCTAATTATAATTTTAGGGATCTTTTAGCATACAACACCTCAAGGAGTTAATTCCTTACTATTTCAGTTTAGAGTTTAAACATAAATCTTAAACCCTTCATAAACTTTTAAGGAAGCATGATGGATTATAAGCAAGTAAATGGACTAACTCAAGAAATAATCTATAAGGGATATAAAGGGAAAGGGCCTATTAACAAGAGTGCACCCTCTTTCTAAATTGGTTAAAGCTTTTGGAATACTTGGGGTTAAGCTTACTTGGGTTTGAATAATATTAGGCTACATGATATCATAAGAAGTCTAAACTTAAGAGCTTACACCATAGTCAATACTTTTGTCCACTAAAATAAAGAAGAATGGACTCTCCTTGATATTGTAGAAGAGTTTTTGTTGTACTAAACCTTAGATTGCATCATCTTATAGGCAATTAAAGAGAGTGATTTAAGAATGGTCTATTGTAGTTTAAATATAAAAAGAAAGAAGCCATACTTTATTTTCCAATTGGGCAAAAGGTCTTTAGAGTTTTAGAGTTAAGCATTTATAGGTTTGAGTTGGTAACTTTCTAAGAAGTCTAAATTCATGAGCTTATTTTTGATATTTAATTTATTCAATATTGCTATAAAATTGATATATAGGAAAGTTTAGTGCCCCTAGGTAAATATAATTCTGTAGATTGTCCAATGGAAAGTTTGTTACCACAAAATGGTGAATCAACTTCATTTCTAAAGAATCTTCTTCTCTTCTTCATTGAGTTGTTTCTTGCATGCAAAGTCCACAGACCTTTTCTAAGTAGCATCATCCTTCTAGTATTCCCCTCATACATAAATAAAGCATCTCTATGCACTACTGATGTCATTAAAATCCTCTCTTCTTATTCATTGCGTCATTTTTCAGATGCAAAGTCTACAGGCCCTTTTCGTAGCTTCATCCTTCTAGTATTCACCTCATGCATAGAATATCTCTATGCACTACTAATGAAGCATGTTTATTTAGAATTGTTAGCTAGATATTTGAGGTCTCATGCTTGGTGTATGTGTTTTTTTTTGTTGGCCTCATCATAATAAGAACACCTGATTATAACACGAAAGTTAAAACACCAAAGAAAAACTAGTTTATTTGAAAATTCATCCTTTTTAGTGATGATCAAATAAAAGTGTTTATTAGGAAATGATGTACTGAATTTTGTGCATTCTTGGAGCAAGCTTGTGAGAGATCATATAAGTAAACCTGTTGTAGCTCACTTGAATGAACATCTTAAGATAGAGTAGGAACTGCTAGCTAATGCACTAGAAAGCCATGGAAAAACCAGTGAGAAATAAGAGTCAATCTAGCTCGTTTTACTCACTTCTTGCTTTTTCTTTTATCCCATACTCTTATGACCAGAAAAGAGTAAAAATGTTGTAAATATGGCACTTTAAGCAATGTTGCTTCAGTAAAATAGACCTTTTTCCTTGGCACGGTCTCCCCTTCACCCTTATTTTACATTACCCTATTGCTTAAATAATATGTATAATATAATATGTATATATATATATATATATATATATATATATATATATATATATATATATATATATATATATATATATATATATATATATATATACCTAATGTATTTAAAATTTACTAGTCATGACTTAATTATTTTGCTGCACATTGCATTGTAGCAATGTTTGGTTTGCTTGCATATTTCATATTATCATAAATTTATTATGTCCATTGAGGGAAAGAAAGTAAGATTTTATGATGTGCATATGTTATATAAGTTTTTCTTCTATTATATTTAGATAGTAGCTAGTAGGGAAACTTTTTGGTAGTCATAAACAGTCTTAGTTTGATCATCATACACAATAAAAGCATATCCGTAATTCTTAGGTGCTACTCAAAATGCTAGTGCACAAGGTGTAAAAAGAATTTTCTTAAAACAAAACATAGTTATTAGGGCGCTGGGATCTTTAGATCACCTCCTGGATAATAGTCCCACTGCTGCTGCTGGGAGAACATGCTACGACAGTAGCCGGTAGAGCTCCATGTGGGGGATGAGTATGGCATAGGTTTATAATTATGATTATAAGAGTAGCAAATTGGGTGCATTGGTATGCATAAGCTTTTGTGGGTTGACCACCCTTGAGTGGCATGTTGAAAGGCTGAACTTCTTATGAGGTAGCCAAACAATCTCTTATAACTAAATAAGTATATTTTTTCATAAGTATATAGACCATCCATTGTATATGATCATAAGATAAAAAATAATTTTAGAATATCCAGGCTTTCTAAATATGTTAGGCTTTTATTCACACTAGGTTAAAACAGTCAAACATTTATAATTCTTTTAAAAAGTCTTAATGGTTATTTTGAGAAAGGTAGTCAAAAGATTAATCTTTGACAAAATTAAAAGTAACTTCAAAGTTTACAAAAATTTAAAGAACATTTAAATGACTCCAATCCAAGTAACTAATTTGAAGATATGAAAGAATATACAATTTTCTTGTTAATATGCAAAATAAAAATATTTATTTTCTTTACAATTTTAAATACTATGCAAATTTATATGTATGCACCAAAAAATACAGTTACTGAATGGGGAAGAAATAATACATTTAATCAAACAGAAATGGGAATGATTATTAGTAATGGATTTGAAAAACTTATAAGAAGTATAGGTTTATATGTTCCTAATGGATATCGACCAAATTATGAAAATATAGTAGAAGTTAATCTTGGTAGAGCAATGATCATTGTACAATTTAGACGTATGGATGGTAATCCTCCTGTATGTTCAATAGGGCAAATATCAAATGATAGAATTAATCCAAGAACTTTAAGATTTGGATTTGAATATTTATTTCAGTTATTTAAAGATGATATGTTTCAAGCATGTTCTGATGAATGCACTTTTACATCAAAAAAATATCAAATTGGTTACAGTGTTTTATTTTGGTGGCCTCATAGGTTTAACTTATAAAAAAAAATATAGTTTTTCATATCATAACAAATATATTCCATATAATATTGATGATAATTGTGATATTACATTAACAACTTTAAATGCTGGATCTAAACATGATCATCTTTACACAGGTCAATTTTTAATGTCTCCAAATCGTAAAAATATATTATTAGTAGAGAGTAATTGCAAAATTTCTTTATATTCAAAAACAAACTTTATATGGAGATCGAATAATATTGAAGAGCATTATGATTTATGTGTTTTAAAAGTTAAAACTAATGGTAATATTGTTTTATACAATAGTTACAAACAAATAGTATGGTCTATTTTGAAATATTGTTCAAATTGTATAAAATTAACATCTCTTACTTTACAAAATGATTGTAATTTAGTGTCATATGAAGCAAAATTTCCAAATAAGATTTGGTGGGCAACAAATACTTATAATCATATTGGATGTTTAAAATAATTCATTTATTATAGTAATTTTTTGGTTTTTTAAAATTAATAATCAACAAATCTAAAAATCTAAACTGCACTAAATGTTGAATTTGAATAAAATTATAAGGTGATTAAACACCAAGAATAAAATAAGCTGATTAAATACTAAGATTTAAACATGTAATTATTAGATGAAATAAAATTTCAAATTTATCTGAACAACTTGATAAAAGTAGCATTATGTTTGTGACCACTGGAAAAGGTCAAAGTAAAATCGAAAAATAGCAGGCACATGTTCATCTTTTATCAGCTAGTTATTGAAGATGTTGTTTCCTAGTTTTGGAGCTATAAGATGTGATGTTTCTTGAGGTACCTTAGCCCCATGGAGCAAGTCACAATCGATGGTAGCATCATCTGGCCACTGAACATGATCTTGTCTAATTCTTCCAAGTCCACTCTCACAATTTCCATATACTCCTCACTATCTCGTGGTCTCGGGTTTGGATCGATCTGCAAATATGCCGTCCATGAGCAAGGAATTGCTTGAAATGAAATTACAGTACCAGAGGATCCAGGATCAGATATGGAGTGAATCTATTCCTGCACCATTTTACCTGTATTGAGAAGAACAAGAACAAATATAACAGTGAACTTGACAAACTTTGTGATTATCACTGGTTTACCTCGAGCAAACCAGGATGGTCGTCGCCAATCAGCTTTACAAGCTTGCCATCGTGCAAGTGAGCCTTCCAAATGTTTTGAAGAAGGAAATAAGAAACAACAAACAGAGAAATCAATCCATTACCTCCTCGGACAGCTCCTTCATTGCACAATCTTCCAGAGAAGTATGGCTTTTCGAGAGACCACCGCAAGGCAAACTAAACATCATTCCATTCGATCCCTGTGTTTTCAAACTCCAGAAGTGAAAGTAGGAACCAAAAGAAAAAGAAAGGTTGAAACCTGCGCGTACTCCTTGATCAAAGTCACAAGCTTGCTTTTCGAGTCGAAAGGCATGACGGCACAGAAATGGAACGACACAGTCCTGGAGCCTACAATGTCGTATTCCACGACCTTGCGGGCATCCTGTGCATCGGGGGGATACTATAGATCGATCCAGCCACAAAACGAAAGAGTTGAAGTCAGCGAGATCTCATCTATGGAGCAGCGGAGCACAGGGATTTTACCTCAAAAACTAACCTCCACAATGCGATTGTAAACGTTGAGATAGCGCGAATAGCGCAGCTCCTCCTGGAAATCACGAAGAATTCCTCCAAATCAATCCTCGAGACACACTACCTTGAGAATCTGGAAATCGCCGCTCCCGATCGCTAGATCTGCCCAGGAACAAGCTCTAAGCTCAAGAAAAGGCACGCATTGGGCGGAAGAAACACGCACCCTTGGCGCCTCCCTCACATTCCGCGCTCCTCGCCATTGAAGAACCCTAAAATATTTCTCTAGAGCTCTAGATTTATTTCCAATGGCGGCCGAGCGAAGGACGCCCAAGCCCGCGGAGGTAATCGCCTACTACAAATCCAAGGGCTTGAATCAGGAGCAGGCCTGCGAGAAGGCAGTGGAATCGCTCCAGAAGGCGCTGGCTCTCTCGCTCCGGCGGCAGCAAATCCAGCCCGAGCGCATCGCATTGCTCGAGTCCCAGGTCGTGAATGTCGGGCAGGCGGTGAGGGATCTGGACAAGAAGCTCTCGCGGCTGGAGATGGCGCTGGATTCGAAGCCCGGCATCGCGCAAATCTTCGCTGCCGGGGTCGCGTCGGGCAGCGCAATCCGGGGCCTCTTCGATGGAGCTCCCCATCTCTTCCGCGCAATCGCCCAGGTTTCTGGAAATATCTCCAGCTCGATGCGTCACAAATCTTCCAGGCTTTAGAGCCAGGTAGAGTCGCAAGATTGGATTGAGCGATGAATGGATTCAAAGATTTCCAAGCTAGCAAGTGTTCTTCCTAGATTGATCAATGGATGGAATGGATCCAAGCTCGAAATTTCTGTAAGTTAGAAAGAATTACAAGTGTGTGTATGGTACATTGCACTGTGAGAAAGAAATCTAGGAGATCTTGCGATCGCCGCGCCGTCTAGTCCGAATCGGTGGCCTTGCTGCCGCCTGAGGTGGCCGATTTCTTGGGGAGAAGCACCGAATGGATGTTGGGAAGAACACCGCCGCTCGCGATCGTGACATGCCCGAGAAGCTTGCTCAGCTCCTCATCGTTCCTCACCGCGAGCTGGATGTGCCTGGGGACGATCCTGTTCTTCTTGTTGTCGCGCGCGGCGTTTCCTGCCAGCTCCAACACCTCCGCCGCCAGGTACTCCATCACCGCGGCCATGTAGACCGGAGCTCCAGCGCCGACACGCTCGGCGTATTTCCCATGCTTCAAGAACCTGGCGATCCTCCCCACCGGGAATTGGAGCCCCGCCTTGGCGCTCCTCGACACGGCCTTCTTGCCCGCGGATTTGCCACGGCCTCCACCAGCCATCGCGAAATCTCAACGCTACGCAGAAGAAATCTCCCAAGAATTGAGGAGCGAGGGAAGAAATCCACAATCCAGGCCTAGGCGAGCGTGGAAGAAGAGGAGCAACGATTCAACAGCACGGGCAGTGTCTCAAGAGCCCTATATATACACACACGGGCCAATCTCCATCGAGGACTGGGATCGCCACTTGCAGCCGTCCGATCGAGCCCACATCCAACGGCCCAAGTTTAAACTCTTCTCCCTCGCGCGGCTCAATCGATATGAAATCTGTTCCTTCTTGCCGTGTTCGTCTTGGCCCCGGACAAAGGCTCGAGCCTCTCCAGTTTTCTTCGCTTGCTGCTGCTCGCGGTTTGGAAAATCCTCGGTGCCAGTTCGATCAGCCAGCTCGATTCGATCGATGTCACTCCTTGCATAAACTCCTTGCTCGTCATGAGCAGCTCCTGGTAAACCACCCACTTTGGCGAGCCTCGATGAGCTAGCGAGCTCCCCGGATGGATGAACACTCGCTGGTTTCCAACCAAAGTCCGGTAGCCTCCCTCGGGATCTCTCCGCGCGGCGTGGTAGAAAAGCCCCGCGCAAATCCCCTTCCTGATCTTGGAGTTGTCGCTTCCAGCGCTCACCACTGCCAGTCCCTTGTCTTCCATGGTGCTCAGCAGCTCTTTCCTCACGTCGTGAGCTCGTTGGAGAGCTTCCACGCGAACAAAGTTGCTGTGGCACCATCCGGCCGCGAAGCCACTCGCCTTCCAGCTCTCGTAGACGGCTAGAAGCGTGAGGCAGTCTCCACCAATCTGGAAAAACCGGGCTTTTTTCCTGTCCGCCTCCGACTGCTTGTCCAAAGGCCGGTAGAAAACGCTCTGAGCTTGCAACATGGAGATGATGGTGATGATCTCGTCGCTACAGCCGAGCTCCACACTGGCCAGAAGCATCCTCGACAGCAAAGGCTCCATCGGAAACTCCACCATCTTCAAGCCCAGTTTCGTGATATGACCGCCATCGTCGAGAGCACCCAAGCTATAGAGCTGCTCCATCGCCGAACTGAGAGCGTGATCAGCCGGTCGATCCAGAAAGTCGAAAGAAAAGATGCCGTCCTCGCGGAGAATTGCCTTGAGATTCAGCACCGTGCTTCCGAGATTAGTTCTCTGGATTTCAGGCACGGTTGACGGGAGCATCTCGCTTTGTAGCGTGTTCTCCGGATAGAGTCGATAGCAAACTCCAGGACCTGTTCGTCCGGCACGACCAGCACGCTGTTTTGCCGACGCCTGTGATATCGGACAGATAACCAGCGAGTCCAGCCCCAGCTTTGCGTTGTAGCGGTGTTCTTTCACATAACCCGAGTCCACCACGTAGTAAATCCCGTCGATCGTCAGGGAAGCCTCTGCGATGTTCGTTGCAACCACAACTTTTCTCCTACCTGGAGGTGTTGGATCGAAAATCTTTGATAAACTCTCGGCCGGGAGTGCACTGTACGCCGGCAAGATGACCAAAGTTGGAAGGCCAGGACCCAGCGCTCGCATCTTTTCCTGTAGAGCCTGGCAGGCCGTCTCAATCTCTTCCTGGCCCGTGAGAAACAGTAAGATGTCGCCTTCGGGTTCCCTGACATGGATTCCCAGCACAGTAGACACCGACGCGGCCAAGTAGTCCGGCTCCGGCAGCTTCGAGTGGATCACTTCTACGGGGAAAGTTCTCCCGGGAATATGAAAGGTGACACACCCGAAAAAGTACTGCGAGAACTTGTCCGCGTCGAGCGTAGCCGAGGTGACAATCAGTCGAAACTCCGGACGGCGTCGGAGTAAATCCTTGAGCAATCCGAGAAGCACGTCAGTATCGACGGTTCTCTCGTGAACTTCGTCCAGCATCACCACCGAGTACGAGGAAAGGTTTCTGTCCATGAGAATCTCCCTGAGCAGCATTCCATCCGTCATATACTTGATGACAGTCTGAGAACTCGTGATGTCCTCGAAACGAATAGCGTAGCCGACCTCCTCGCCAAGACGACATCCAAACTCCTCGGCGACTCGTTTTGCCACGGACGTCGCAGCAATCCTTCGGGGCTGCGTGCAACCGATCATTCCATTCGAAGTGTAGCCTTCTTCCGCGAGGAACTGAGTTATCTGCGTTGATTTTCCCGATCCCGTCTCACCTATAACTAGAAGAACCTGGTTTTCTCGAACAGCCTCTAGCAGTTTCTCCCTCAAACCATATATTGGAAGTCCCTGTCGTTGCTTTAAAATCGCAGGATTTACTTCCCTGTCTCTCTTAAACTGGACTCTTGGCCTCTTGACTCGAGCGTTTGCAGCGATCTCACGAAGAGAAGGATGATCTTTTTGTGGCTTATCCGGTGGCTTCTTTGCGATCGAGCTGGAAGATGCTTGCTTCTCGACCTCCTTGGACGATCCTTTCCTGCCAAAAGCGTGGAGCTTGTCCGTGGAAGGCTTGATAAACTTTGGTTTCTCTTGATCAAACTCAACTGGTTCTTCGATAACCTCCACCAATGCGGTGTGCTGCTGGCGAAGGAACTCGGGCTTGGCCTCTTTAAGTTCCACCTCGACTTGCTCGACATGACAACCATCATCTTCTATTTCCTCCAGTATCCTTTTTCTCAAATTCCCATGCCTGGATCCCAGTCCGAGTCTAGAACTAGGCGGCCTAGAAGAAAAAACCTGTGACGATTCCACCGAAGCGAACACCCCACCGGTGTAAGCCACGACTTCCCTCCCTGTCCTCTGATCGACATCGCTCATGGATAGCACTACTCTCTGCCCATTCGCCGACACTACCTTGACCCAAACCTCTTGCCCTTGCATCACTAATCCCTGCGCCGCGTAGACGACGCCCTCGTTGATTCCCCATGGCCCCGCAAGCTCCACAAAGCATCCCGGCCCAGCGATCCGAGAGACCTTACCCGAGTAGACGCCGCGCGGCTGCGGTCCCTTGGCGCTCATCGCGAAATGCCCTAAAAATGCGAAATAGAAGATTACATAGCGCTGTTAGGTTAGAAAAACGCGTGCCCTAATAGGACTAAAATGAAGTTATAAGAATTAAAATTGATTAACAACTGACCTAATTTAATCCCCACTAAAGGATTATTAACAACTTTAACTTAAAGGATAACTTCGCCTTTACATTTTTAGGGCACAAGGAGAGGGAGCTCCACGGTGTGGTGCTCTTGGATCTTCTGCGGCGATGGCGAGAAGAGCTCCAGCGGCGGGAGCTGCGCCTCGCCCGACACGACGCGGACGACCTCCGCCATGGACGGCCGCGACGCCGGCAGCCGCTGGATGCACTGGAGCGCCACCATGATGCACAGCGCCGCCTGCTCGCGCGAGAACTCCCCTCGCAGCGATGGATCCACGAGCTCCAGCACGTCCCCGTTGTGAACCAGGTGCCTCGCCCACGACGTGAGATTGGCGCGCTCGAATTCCACGCTCGGTGACACCACCTGGAGCGGCCTCCGCCCCGCCACGATCACCAGCACCAGCACTCCAAAGCTGTAGACGTCGCTCTTCTCGGACAGGATCCCGGCGCCGCCATACTCGGGCGCCGCGTAGCACACCGTCCCTCGCATGCTCGTCGTGCTGCTCACTGCCCCGCGGCTCCCCAGCTCGCCGCTCCATCTCTCCCGGCTCAGAGTTCTCTCCCTGGAGCGGAGCTCGCGGCTGAAGCTGTTGAGCTCGCCGCTAAAGTCGATCGTCCCGGAGTCACCCCGCCTGTGGATCCAGTGGAGTAAGTCGCCACTCCACCACTCTCGGCCTCCTCCTCCTCCACCCTGCGGCTGGTGCTGGTATTTGCTCGAGAGATCGCCGCTAAAGTCGAAGCTACACGAAGACAAGTCGCGGCTCCGGCTCTGCGAGGACATCTTCTTGCCGCCTTTGAGCTCCCTGCTCTTGTTGCACAGGTCCTCGAGGTATTCCTCTCTCCACCATTCCCTGCTCTTGGTAAGATTTCCACTCACGTCCCTGCTCCTGTGCTGCTTTTTCTTTCTCTTCCATCGCTGGCGGATCCCGTGCTTGAATGGAAAGCACTTACCGAAGATTGAGAGCTGGAACGTTCTCATGGCTTGGATCCGGCTCCTTGAGCATTCTCGAACGCTGTTCTTCCCCTGGAAGGAGTTTCCGACGCTCGCGTCGCCCCAGTCCCTGCTCCTGGATCGCCCACTCTTCACCTGGCACGAGAGCCAATCCACCGTGTAGTCCTTGACAATCGCGTTGGTCTCGTCCCGCTCGTCTTGCTGCTTCCACCACCACTCTGTGCTTTTCCTCCTCTCCCTCCTGTGACCAACATTAATATTGTCACTCGCAGCTGCTGGACTAGAGACGACTTGGCTGGTCCCATCTTCATTTCTATCGGCCCCTAGAGATCGTCGGCTTTCCACTTTCCAGCAAGCGCCATCAACTCGAGGGCTTGATGGTGGTGGCGGTGTGTTGTCCGCTGCTGCTGCTGCTGCTGCTGCTGCTGCGCTCTCATTATGGAAAGAAAATCCCACCTCCTCCTCCTCCTCCCTCATTCCTCCAGCGCTCTTCTCCACGGTTTGGTCAACAACCATCGTTTCCACAACTTTAGCTGCCGCAGGAGGAAGCTGAGCCTTGACACCTTCCTCGCCTCCTTCGAATCCCCCTGACTGTTGCTGCTTGTCATCAATGCCGCTAGCCACTGGGTGTTGTGGAGCCCCTCTCACGCTACTCCCCGCCGACAAGCGCTTCTTCTTGCTGAGGGCATCCTTCCTCATCTTCTTCTTGTGATGCCACTTCTCGCTGTCCCTCACAAATCTTTCCACCTTCACCCTGTCGTGATCCTGCGCGGCCTCGCCATTAAGAAGAACGTCCTCGCTCCGGACGTCTGGGGCCGCCTCCGTCTTAACTCTGGCCAGTCCGAAGTCGGCAAGCCTGGCGCAAAGCTTGTCGTCCAGAAGAACGTTGCTGGGCTTGATGTCGCCGTGGATGATTGGCGGCTCGCACCGAAAGTGGAGGAAGGCGAGCGCTTGGGCGATGTCGAGGATCACCTTGTAGCGCATCTTCCAGTCCAGCTCCACTGGGTAGCCGTCGTGGAAGAGGGCCTCCTGCAAGCTCCGGTTGGCCATGTACTCGTAGACCAGCAGCCTCTTCTTCCGCTCGGCGCAGTAGCCCATCAATCCGACAATGTGAGAACACCTGATACTGCCTATCACTGCCATCTCGTTCTGGAACTCTTTCTCCCCCTGGAGCGATGCCGAATCCAAGCTCTTGACTGCCACCACCTGGCCATTCCTTAGAACTCCCTTGTGCACCGGCCCAAACCCCCCTTGCCCGAGCTTGTTCTCGATGCTAAACGAGCCTGTGGCGGCCTTGAGCTCTCGGTAGGAGAACTTTTGGAGGCGAGGAACTGTTGCTGGATCGAAGGGGCTGGTCTTGCTCGACTTGAATCGGTAGTAGAGAAAGAGGACGCTGACGATGAACACCACCAGGAGAGTGACTCCGCCACCGATCGCAAATGCGAGTATGAGAGCCATCTGTGGCGAGTGTGACGAACTGGTTGCTGGAAGAAACCGCTGGCGTCCTCCATGATCTGGAGGCGACTCCGAGAGAGCCCGCATCTTCTTCGCGACGAGAGAAGAGGGATGGGATGGAGCTCCGCCTTAGCGATCGCCAAACTTTGGAGCCATTCATCCACTCCTGCCTGGAAGACACTGCGTGAGAATCCAATGTAGCAACTTGAAATGGAGAGAAAGTCCTTGACACCACATGAATGGAGACGGGGATTTTGGGAGACGACAGGCAGGAGTAAATCAAATGCTGTCACTCAGGGAAAAAAACTTCCATCATCCATTAACTACGATAATGGATGAGAGAAAAAAAATCAAAAGAGAAGTATGGGATCGTGCTGGAACTAGACAAAGAGCGCTCTCTCTCTCTCTCTCTCTCCCGTCATTATCAATCCAGGAGCTGTCTGGAGCGACACTAGAAATCTCTGGAAAGAACCCTACCAGAAAGAAATGTGATCACGCATTTCCAGGCAGGAGGATGCATGTGACGATGATCCGGAGGGAAACAAATGCATCGATCGCGCTTTTCTTGGGAAAGAAAGAAATCACTGACCTCGGTCGGCACGCGCATTCGGCGCTGGATCGATCGATCGCCTCCAAAATGCGCTTCGGTTTGTCGCAGCGCCGCGAGAGGAAAACCTAGAAATCTATGCGCAGCTCCATCTCATTGATATTCGCGCTTCTTTCTGGAATGGTAATAAATGTGAAAAATTGGAGTATCGCCGTTGCCGGGGATCGAACCCGGGTCGTCCGTGTGACAGGCGGAAATACTCACCACTATACTACAACGACTTAGCGATAATGAAAGGGTGATTATACTAGTTTTAAATCTCCCTCGTTACTTTGCGGATATGGCTTCGTCGTGTTCTTGCGCTGTCGAAGCGCTCTGTGGAGCGATTCTTCACCAGCGATTCTTCCGTGCGCCGATCAATGCGTCTCCCTCCGGCGCCGATCACGGGCAGCGATTCAAGCTGGTAAATCTCAGGAATGCGGTGCTAGGGATGCGAGAATGCGAAATCCAGGCTGAGCGCCAGGGATTTCGAGCCGCTAGGGCGAGTGTGGCAGCTGTAGCCGCCATCGCTTTGCTCTTTCCTGTCGATCCAGCCCTCGCATTCAAGGTATGGTCAGAATTTCTGGAAATCTTTAAGGATTTTTGGTCGCATTCCTCGATCGTGGATCTCAGTGTGCTTGGGAAAACACAGGGCGGTGGTCCGTATGGTTCCGAGGTCACGAGAGGGCAGGATCTCTCTGGAAAGGATTTTAGTGGCCGGGATCTCACTAAACAAGACTTCAAAACGGTAACTCTTCTCCATTTGCTTCATTGGAGCTACCAAAAAACTGCATCGAGATAAACTTTGCAGTCGATTCTACGCCAGGCCAACTTCAAAGGAGCAAAACTATTCGGAGCTAGCTTCTTCGATGCAAATCTTACGGGTGAGCAAACTTGTATAAGATTTCTTCTCCTCACATTGGGATGGTTTCTTTTTTCCTTTGCTCTCTTCTTCTAGGGGCCGATTTTTCTGACGCAGATCTTCGTGGAGCAGACTTGTCCTTGGCCGATGCGACGAAGGTAGAATTCTTTTCAATTCTGTTTTTTGCTTACAAACGAGTAAGTTCTATTCCAGGCTAATTTCACAAACGCCAACCTTGAAGGGGCTCTTGTCACAGGCAACACCTCTTTGAAGGGTGCAAACATAACTGGAGCGGGTACGTTACATTCTTACAGGCAGGGAGATTCTTACAGCCATGATTTGCATTTAGATTTTACGGATGTCTTGTGGAGAGAAGACCAGCGGAGTTATCTGTGCAGAATAGCTGATGGGTTAAGTACTTTATAATGTTTGTTTTGTAAACTAATGTTGTGAGTACCAACAGGATCAACCCAGTCACAAGCAATTCCACAAGGGAGACGCTGCTTTGCGATTAAGTAAACTTTCTAGTAGAGTTTTGAATAATGCTGGTGAGCATTCAATAAATGATTGAAACATTTTGAAAAGATATACTTAATAATCTAATAACTATATTCTTTCATCAAAGAAAATAAGAATGCTAAAACATTAATAATCTAATAACTAGCTTCTTTTATCAAGAAAATAATCTCACTGGCGACTTAGGGTTAAGAGAACATAATCTATCTTAAGGGTAGTACTTTTGAAGTAGTTTAAGGGTGAGAGAAGGTGTAATGTTTAGTAAATTTGTATAAAAAAGGCTGGTTGCAATGGCCAATCAAGATGAATGTTAGAATCCTAATGATGATGGTAGTGTTGATTAATAGAGATGCTAAGTTTTGGTATCCATGATGTTGTACATGAATTGCAAGCCCTTAACAAGAATTTGCAAAAGATGTATGGCATGATTGCTCTGATGCATAGATGCACTCAAGGTTTGAGGGTGATGCTCTATACAAGATTTCTCTAGTGGATTGATTCAAGATTCCACCTTTTTCTAGTGATAGCAATAGACTAGTTATCTCCCAATTAGAGTTCCCGCACTTTTACAAAGTTTTTCCATTTCCAGTTGTATGTCTAGAGCTCTTCTTAGTGATGGTTTAATCCATACTATTATTGATCTATATTCTTAAAAATCTTCAAATCTAGAGTTAGGGAACTGATGCTGGGTAGAGTCGATGGATAAGAGCTATTAAAAGAGGCTATTCATTAGAGAAGCTCTCTATGAAAATCAGGAATGCAATTGAAGAATAACAATATAAAGGAAAAAAGCTTGCAAAGTTTGGTCTTCTAAGATTAGCTCTTTGATCAAAATTAAAGAGGAGTTTTCACAGAAAAGCTTAAAGAGGTCATTTTTCTTTACTTTGCTTTACAGAGCTTAGCGTATCCAAGCATGAAATCGAAAAGCAACTTGCACAGCACTTCATGCATTGGCCAGCAACATACTGCAACCTGCCAGCGTACTAAAGGGCTTCAGAATTCAAAGAGCATCTTAGAGAGCATTCACCACAGCCAGAAATATTGCCATACTGGATGGTCATTGTTGGAAGATATAAAAAGAATTCCCTACAACTATACATGCAACTAGAAGAGTTGTCCAGAGCAACAGTACAAATCACTAGACAGTTTGTCTCAGAGCCAGGATCCAGGAGGTACAATTGAGCATTCTATTATTTTCATTTGATCATGTAGAAAAAAACCTTACCACAATGGTGCCAAGCAAGGAGTAAAGAGAAAGGCTCCCACTCAATGTACCTGTAATGCCAAGGTATTATCAAAATTACAATTAAAAGCAATTGAGCTTACACTTCTTTTTCTTATAGCATGTACACAACGATCAAGATGTTCCCAACAATGAGGATCAATCTGAGCATGAAGAACAGGAGTAGCTTGAAATTGAGAGTAGACCAATAGTCCTGAAGCAAAAGCGAGTGAAGTCTAGAAAGGTGACAAATGTATGAACATGGACTAATGAACAGCTTTGTGAAGCCATGGAAGCTGTAAACAGTGGTCAGCTATCAGAGAGGAAGGCTGCTATAGACGTTGGGATACCTTGTTCTTGGGTGGCTGAGAAGAGGAAGGGTATGAGACCTGGTCCATCAACAATGCTCTCTACATCTGAAGAAGAGACACTCCTTGTTGTGTTGAAAGTTAGAGCAGAAGTTGGCTACCCTATGACACAAAGTGAGCTCAAAGATGCAGTAGCAAGCATTGTATCAACAAGAGATATCACCTAGAATTCTAGTCGTAAATGGTGTAGACTATTCATGAGGAAGCATCCAGACATAAAATTCAAGACTGCTCAAGCTTTGGAACTACAACAAGCTAAGAATCTGTATCAACCTATTGCTCAACGCTTATACAATCAGAAGCTACATACCTTGTGAACAAGTACAAAGCCAGCAACATTTGGAATGCCAACAGGACTAGCGTTCATGCTAGTCAAAATGGACGTGCCCAAAGTCTTGGCAACGAATGGAATGCAGAGTTGTTCCAAGTAACACTGAACAAATCACCATTCTAGCTATTGTGAGTGCAGAGAAAGTATCATTACCTAGTTTCTAAATCTTCCAAGGGGAGTGCCACATGCAAAATTGGATATCTGGCTGCGAACCTGGAGCGATGTTTGCAATTACTCTAAAGGCTTGGATGTTAAATGATTTGTGGCTTCACCACTTTGTGAAACACATGCTTAGTGGCTGCTCAAGTGAAAACAGGCATGCTCTCATCATTGACAGTCACGGTTTTCATTGCTCCTGGCATGCCCAAAGATTTTGGGATTGATATCATCCTCCTACCAGCACACTCATCACACAAGCTACAACTTCTGGATGTGAGTTGTTTTGGCCCATTCAAGACTTACTTTCAACAAGCTATCATGAGTTGGGAGCACAAGCATCAAATAAGGATCTTGCAACATTATCTAGCAAGGTAATGGCTTGAGCAATGGCTGAAAACATCAAGGCTGGGTTTAGAGCAACAAGGATATGACCACTAAATAAGGAGGCAATGAACTCTCACTTTGGTCTAGGTACTCTACACTCAACAAGCTTGGATGACTTTGATGTGAATGCAATTCTACAATAGGGGTTCCAACTCCAATAGTGCTGGCATCATTAGCTCTAACAAATAATGATCAATTGGCAAATGTGTCACATCTTGCAAATAGTGATGAACAAGCAAGAATGTCATAGTTGCCTGCCAACCTTCTTATGCCGCCATTCTAAGTTCCACTTCCTAGACCAAGTGCTGTGTTACAAGCATCAGTTAGATCAATTTTGACCAGCGAGACATACACTCAAATCCTAAGCACTCTTTAAGCTGAAAAAAGAGTACAAAAAAACTGAGAAGATCAAGGAGAAAAAAGCCAAACAAAAGAAGAAGAAAGATGTTATTAAGAGGAAACAAGAGGCAGCAGCAAAAAGAAGACTTGAATCAACAAGAAAAAAAATGGAGAAGCAAGTAGAAATAACAACATAATAGAGGGAACATGAAGAAAATTAAAAAGAGAAAGTAGCTAAGGCTGCAAGGCTAAAGTAATCTTATGAAGAAGCAATAATGAAGAAAAGGAAGAAAAAAAGGAAGAAAAAATTTAAAAGAAAAAAAACTGGACAAGCACAAGGTAATTGATATCTATTTCTATAACTTGATACTTATTTGATTTGGCAGTCATTCCACTCCCTCCCACTTTAGCCCAGTAAAGTGGCTGGCCTGTTATAACAAGGCATGGCCTGTTTTAGGACCACCAGACCTGAAATGAATCTTGAACATTATGAATGAATATAGATTATTTTTGACTTATTTTCTATAAAAAAAATTGTTTTTCATATGTCTTGTATAATCACTACTTTACAAAAGATTAATGTACAAAACTTTCATAAAAAATATATAAAACTCCATAATAGGGCTATTATTAGACCCCTTACCTTAGTGTTTACAAAAAATATTATACACTCATATGTGTTTTTCAAGATTTGATATGTGTACACAAGTGTGTGCCAAGTTTGTAACATATGTAGCTTTCATCCTTTATCCTATGATGATTTACCATAGAATAACCATAAAGTAGAACTTAAACCCTTTATATACCACATATCATATGCCACATGTTTAAAGACAGTGGAGCCAAACCTGAGTTTCAGGGCTTTAGACCATTGAATAAAGGTATAGAGCTAAACTCCCAAGCTTGCAACTAAGGAGTGAAGATATTGGAATATGGAACAATT